CTTTTTTTTTTATATATCTTCCACCTTTCATAGCGTGTGGTGGGCGAATGTGCTACAATAGCTATAAAAGTTCGAGGCTCCTTTTAACTTGTATGCCCTAATGAATTGTTATCTAGAAGATCGAAAAGTACGAATACGAGGCAACTTTTATGAAGTCGAAGAAAGACTGGAAAGGGGATCCGCAGGGCTCTGTCCTCGGACCTGCCCTTTGGAAATTAGTATTCGATGAGTTGCTGGAGGTTCACGAAGAGGAGCGGTTCCCTGCCACAGCCTATGTCTACGACCTGGGCGTAGTGGTGGCATCCAGCAGCTGAGCTGGCTTGAAAGGAGGAGAAAGTTGAGCCAATCTTGTTGGAGGATGGTGCGATGAGAAGAGGCTGAAAATGCCTGGCGCCAAAACCCAAGCTATACTTCTACAGGGTATGACTGCTAGGGCTCACCCTATTATCATGAATAGACAAGGGATAAGGGTAAGTCGAGTGAAGAAGTAACCTATCTTGGAGTGAGATTTGGCTGAAAATTCAATGTTACTCCTCACTTGGATTACCTGAAAAGTAGGGTGACCCTAGCTCTCAATGGAATAAGTTGTATAGGTGGCGCCTTCTGGAGCCTCAGTTACCCAGCATCGATTACCATCTATAATGAGTGTCTTGAGGTACGCCTCCCCAGCTTGGAATTGTAACCTCTTGCAACTACAGAGGTGACAATCCAGAGAATGGCTCTGCTAAAGTAACAAAATCCTACAGGACTGTTGCTCATGAAGTGCTGCAGGAGGGATATCTATCAACCTTCTCCTGCAAAGAAAACAAGCTTAAGTATATTCTTAAGAAAGAAGGCTTGAGTCTTTCAGAAAATCCCCAAGAAAGGATTGTGGCAGATCTATCTAAATGGCAAAGAATAATGTGGGAGAACATCATTGAGCAGTGGAATCAACGGTGGGTAACTACTCATAAAGGCTCTACCTTAAGGAAATACTTTCCTACAGTCTATTGAAGGTTGGAAGCGAAAAGTGAGTCCTTCCTGATTGTTGGGTGTCACAATTCCTGACAGGGCATAGGGGTTTCCAAGCCAAGCTTCGTGGCTTAGGAAAAGAAATTAACCCATGTATATGTGATGGTGATCCAGAAATCGCAAGCAATAAGGGTCAAAATACTGAAGAAATCTGGACTCTACATCATCACGGAGGACGATTTCCCTCAGCTAGTAAGTAAGGATAACTACCTGTACTATGAAGCATTCATGTAGGGGTGGAAGGAATTAATGAGGGATGATCACTTTAACCTTTACTAACGAAGTCCGAGATCTGAAAAATCTGTATTGCCAGGAGGCAAGGAAAGAAGAAAATAAAACAAAATAAAAAGTATTATTTTTTTATTTGAGATTATTTATTATTCTCAGATATAGAAATGAAGAATTTTATGGTACCAGATTTTTATTTAGTAAAATTATTAAAAAGGAAAATAGTTTAATATTTACAACTTTTTTTAAATAATTAAAAATGTCCCCTCATGTTTTAGACATAAACTAATTTAGTTCCACCATGTGCAAATTTCATTTTTCTGGAAGTCTTTATTTCAAAAACAGTTATTCCTATAAATTTTGTCCTCGAACAATAAAACCTTGACCTTGAAATATAGATAAGTATGTACTCAACAGAAATAGTAAGGAAGCTATAGTGATTCTCATTAAGAGGAATTTTTGAATGAGTATAAAACGATTTTAGAATGAAAAATTCTTTTCAGAACATAATTTAAAAATGTATACTTGATGATTACTTTAAGATTTTAGTAAAATGAAACAATTTCAATCAAGGTACAGAACAAAACAATAAAAGTGAGAATGATGATTTTTAAATTTTATTTTCTTGCTATGGTCTTAAACTAAAAGTCATTGTTTGGTCAAAAATAAAACATGGGCCATGGGGGTTTTTAAGAAAAAAGACAAATAATTAAGAAACAATATATCTGTTTATTAGGTCAGTTCACAGAAATAATATACAGTTAAAAAACTAGTCTTTATAATTATGTTTTCTTATAAGCACCGACATATTTTTATTATATGAAAGCAACTAAAGTTTTCTTCTACATAAATAAGATTCACAATCGTGACTAATGTATAAATTCATAAATGTGTAATTTAGTAAATTCTTTATAACAACAATATATTTATTACTAATCTCTGATTAATTAATACATTGAATTTTTTTGTTACATTTATGTATGTATTCTATAACATTAAAATTTAAAATTGTTAAAGTATGTAGGTTAGTACAACAGATGTTAGTAAAATACCACTTAAAATTTTAACACATCAAGACCAAAATATTTAACGAGTGGGTGGAAAGGTCACATATTTACTTTCAATTCTTCAATAAGAATAGTAAGCACTTAAGGTGTTAATAACAACTACGACACAAATAATTATTTAGAAATGTACAAAAATACATTCTATAATAATTTAATACTTCAGCTAGACAAGTGCATGGAAGGATTATAAGGGACAGCATATTTCACCACAGGGGTGCTCAAAAATGGATTTTTGAAAATGCTGTAGAAAAAATAAAAGTAAATAAATATTTTTTTTAGGTTTTTGGCATTCCAGCATAGGCACTTCCATAATCCTTATTAGCAACTTCTACAATGCTTTTCATAATCACAAAATTTAATATTTTTACAAAAATAGACACACGTAAATGATTTTATTGTAATTTAAAGACAAATAATAAAAAAGTATGATATGGAAACTACCAAATACACAAATTCATTTCAAATAAACTAGAAACATAAGTTGGATTAATTTTAAAATCCAAATGTACACAAGAAGCAGTATTCTATACCTTTAATTTAACAAACAAATTAATATGTTGTCAGACATTATTCAAATTGTCTAAAGAAGAACAGATAAATCTTATGTTAATTGATCTTTAAAAGATTTATTTATTCATTATACCTGTTAAAAGAATAAAAACGAAAACCAATGTTAAATCAGTGGTTCCTAATAAAAAGGGGTTCTATTTTAAATTGAAATTACAGATCTCTTCCTTGGTATCACCGTTATAAAACAAAATATTTTTCAAGAAGGTGAAATGATCAATTTTTAAATTCTAGGTCATTGATCAAGTTAAAGAACCACTATGCTAAATAAATTAATATTTTAATAGATAAAAAGCTTTGATACCACTTCTTACGTCAAACGATTTTAAATATTTATCACTGAACATGAATGATCAATTTATCTCAATAACCACCTAATGGGAGAAAAGGAAAATTAATAGTTCAAGGCTTCCTAAACTTGTCATTCATGGATCTGAGCTTCAGCTATAGTGATAGTTTAGAACAGCTGATTTTATTTGTTCATAAAAAAAAAAGAAAAAACAAATATCTATGTGTTATGCATACAACAATAACTTAAAAACTAATCAATCCGATATTATAAAAATAGTCAAAGTAATAATCTAGGAAAATTTTTCTCTCCAAAAAAAAACAAAACAACAACGCTGTTTTAATAATTACAAATTGTTGACATAGATTTTCATAATGAGCAACAGTATTGTGTCAACTATTCTACAAAAAATATATATATACACCTAGCAACATATGTTATAAAACATTAGTTGATCAAGTTCTTCATAATATAAAACTTTAACAGTAATAATACATTAAAAAGTGTAGGATATGGCATGAAAATCAAACATAGATTTATGTATAAATATATACAAAATTTTACAGTTGACATTTACCATTGGCAATTAAGAGGGAAGACAATTTACAAAAAATACAGAAAATCTTGTGTTTTGCAGTAACACAAATACAAAATCTATATTAAATTCTTATTCTTAACAACTAATACTTTAAAAATTATTATTATAATTATTCTTCTATTAAAACAAATTTTCTCCAAGTGTAAAATACAGATATCAGGAGTTTCATTAAACTCCAAATTGACAATAATTCATAACAAGTTTAATTGAATGGTTATTAAAAATGTTATAAAAAAATAAAACTCATTAATAAACTTTCTTAAGACACTGTTCAAACCATGTGTTTTAAAAATATATATGAAACTATATTAATTTAAGTCCAATGAGATTTTAAATAAATTAACAAAAATAAATTACATAAATATATGTATGTATATTAGTAATATTTGTATTCATATTTGATGAAAAGCTTTTCTAAATATATACAATGACTACAAATAAATTTAGTTATAAATATTAAAATTTTAATCGGTGATAAAGACCATCAGCCTTTTTAAAATTACTAAATAGACCAAAAATAATAAAAAGCTCTTCTTTTCTTTTTTTTAAGGTTTTAACTTATCATAAAAGTTTTATTTAATTAAACAACTTTGGTTAAGTAATAGTTTATAGCACCATAAATAATTGCCCCAAACAGATAACTAATAATAATAACAAGGGACAATAAGGATATTTAATTTTTAAACTAATTATTAAAATAATATAAAATTATTTAATGTTTACAATAAGTACATGAACATATTTTTAACTAAAATGGCAATTTTTAAAAATATACTATATAAAGAATTGTGATATTGAAAATATCGATCAAAAGATAAATTTTGCCCAATTCCCACGAAATATTATAAATTAAGAATTATCAGTTATTTATAGTTTTCTTACATAAATTTATGTCAACATCCTCATATTTAAAAATTGTTCAATTTTTACTGTGACAAAAATAAATTAAATAAAATATTAAACAATATTGAATTCAAAGAAATAACAAATAATTTCTATTAATTTGAATAAACGCAGATTGTTAAACAATTAATTTTTCATGTGATATTAATATCGTAATATTTCAATTTTAAATTTGTTTTAATTATTAATATTTTAATTTTTTTTAATAAAAAATAAATTACATTAATAGAATATTAACAAAACATAGAAATAAAATCGATAATAAAAAAAATTAACAACAAAGGAGTCAGATAATCACTTGTCAATTAAAAATTAGTGAGAAATACAGCGAAATAGAAAAATATTATCAGGGCAAAAATTAAAAAAATCTCTTTTTATAAGTTAGAAAATTAATGGTTGAGAGTAATTGCAATACTATGGCTTAACTATCATGTACAGTATAAGATCTAGACGATGTCATAGAAGATTGTTGTACGGTACGCAACATGCGATGTTCTAAGGAACCATTAGGCGTTCCACCATTAACAACTTCTGATGATGTAAAGCTGTTAGAAAAAAATTCCCTCTTAGGTGGAGGAGGTTTAGGTGTCGAAGTAAGGAACGTTGAAGTATTGGTATTAGGAGAAAATGTTCTAGTCCTTGCTTCAGTTCGACTCACGTACATCCTTTCAGGGCTGCTGCTGTTGCTGCTGCTGGTTGTCATGAAGGATTTCAACCCCGAGCTGTTCAATGTGCCAACACTGCCTCTGGTAGTGTTCATAGTATTCATCATAGGCTGGGAAGAATAACTTGTATCTTCAATCCTATGGGTCATCAAATATATACTTAGTAAATATTATACCATAGTAGCCTCTATAGAAAAAATAAAATTAATAAAAAATTAAACCAAAACACTAATTTCCAGAAATATGTTCCATGAAAATCACAATTAATACCTCATAAAGACTAAAGACTTAACAAAGCATGCATCAATTAATTAAAAGGAAAAAGAAATACTATCTTTATTTAAAAGATTACTGACTATAAAGTCCAAATAATTACATCCATAGCTTTGGAAGCTGCAGCAAAACATTTGGGTCTGATTATAGACAAAGATGAAAACAAGTGTATGGTCTCTTCTCTGAAGAAACACAAGGAAAAGCAAGAGCATAAGTTTCATTCAGAATTTAATTTGATTAAAAGTAATGCAAATAAAGGTTACTTTAGAATTAAAAATTTCATCCCAAATAACTTAAATCTCAGGGTGAACAAAACTAGATTAGTTTGAGACTCTTTTCTGCCCAATACCTAACAAGAGACTCTAACTTCAACCTATTTTAACCTCACAGGTGAGAGTCAACTCCAGATTTCTGAGAGAAAAATTTTCAATTTTGATTAAAATAGAAGAGAATGATGACAAAAAATGAAAATTATGACCAAATTAACAACAGAGATGCAATGACTTAATAATTTCCATAGAAAGTAAGATATTTTAATTATTTTTGCATAAGGAAAAAAAAAAAAAAAAACTACCACTACAACCCATGAAGGGGTCTTGGGTTCAGTACTATTTAGAGAAAGCACTGTTTCTTGGTCTGTGGTTGTACAAGGAGGTGATTTGACCAAGATCACATTCAACCACCAAGTTTTTCCCCTTAATTAATTATTTTAACTAAAGGTATCCACTTTGTATAGGCTGGGTGTGCCCCTTAGTACCCTATTGAGCTACCCTACAACCTGAACAAGATAAATAAATTTTCATTTCTGTATAAAGTGTATATTAGCGATATTAAGTATTAAAGTTGAAATATATGTAGTTGTTGATTTATTTAAAAAAAAAAAAGTGGTTCTGAAGATGAGGATGGGGACCCTGAAATGCTTAAAAAAAAGGTAGAATAATTTCTATCTTTGCATGCAAAACTGAATTTAATGTTGAACTAACTTAGCATTTCTATAAATTTAAATAAAATATAAATCAGACATTATATTAAATGAATTAATTTTTTTTTTAATAAGTGAAACATCACAAGTTCAATACCACTCACCAAAGAAAATTCTGGATCACTCCTTGATAAGCAGGAAAATAAATGTTAATATTACAATTTGCAAAATAATCAAATAAAAATGTTATAATAATAATTATGTTTAATAAACATAAATAATTCACATGATTCTACAAACTAATAATTAAACTGATAAATAAAATAAGCAAGGCTATACCTTGTGTCGTAAGCATCTGAGTCACTACTATCAAGTCCATTCAATCCCTTCTTTTTATACTTTGCTTGTCTAATAGCTGATAACCTTCCTCTAGCTTCTTCTAATTCACGTTCAATTCTAAGCACCTCAGATCTATTTAAGAAAAGGAAAACCAAATAAACATTTTGAAATTATAATAAAGAGTGAGGATGATATTTAAATAAAATTAATGTAATAAAATTCATAATGAGCTAATAGAAGAGAACTTCTCATTCACTTGTAATAATTTATATCAAGAGTTTATTGCAAAAAGTTATTTTATCAGTCGATTAATATTTGATAAAATTAAATCACTAAGTACTTTGATGTATTAAAAAGAAGAGTAATCAGTAGTCACTCACTACTTAAAATATTTTATGTATTTAATGAATCAATTAGATTCACCTTGCATTGATTTCTTGAGCGATTCCGCCAACCATTTTTCTGTTTAAGACTAAACTTCTTTCTTCTTCTTGTTGTATAGCCTGTTGAGCAGCTTTAACCAAATTATCTGTAGCACGTTTTACAGCATTGCCTGCAGCCTGTATATGAAAATATAAGAAATAGTAAATGTTTTTTTTTACAAATGGATAAGGAAAATATTTCAATTGAAAGTTGTAACTTGCCTGAAGCCTTTTAGTAGTTTCACTATTAGGATCAGCTTTCACTTTGCAAGCAACCAACAAGTGAGCGGTCCAAGACGCCACCTGCTTGGCAGACGACACTAACTTTTCTTCAGAACTTTCACCTAATACAAGGCAATTGGCAGATTCTACAAGTGAATGTGTGGCTGCTGCGACAAGCCTTGCTGCAGAAACAAGACCTTCTGACCACTGACCATCATCAGAACTGGTTAAAGGCCTTCTGGAAACCTATTAGGAAGAATTATAAGAAATTAGTATATAAAGTGAAAATAAAAAAACACATGTGAGCCATTCACAAGCCAAACTAAATAGCAACACTTTATGATCTTTATACTCAATAAAATTAAAACAAGAGAATAGCTTCTGCAACAAACATGTCAAATTTAATACCTTTCCAGCATCGATAAGCTCTCTTTGTGCTGCAGAAGCAGATTTTACAAGAGCTGATGTCGCTGCAGCAATAGATTTTGCTGCTTCAAGAATCATTTCATCAAAGTTGAGATTTTCATCAGGACCTTCCTACAAATAAAAAATAATGTCATTAATAATAAGAAAAATTAAGTATTTATTAACATAACAATTATTTTTGAAATAAAATCATGATATCCAATAACAATAAATCATTACCAAAGTAGCTCAATGTGAAGAGAGATACAACCACTGTATAATATGTTTGATCCCCGGTTGATACAAATAACAACCAAGAATATCAAACATATCTTACAGGAGAAGTAAATAAAACAATAGGACCTTGCCACTGCAAAGACTAAAAATTATAAGCAATAATAAACATTTAACAAAAACATCTACAATTTAAGATTATAAAAAAAAACAATTACTTGACTAATAGATCTTCTTGGCCGGAGACCTGCTAATTTCTTTGCGGCAGCATCTATTGAAGCAGCAGCACCAAGCAATTCATTCTCAGCAATTACAGTTGGATCATCAGGATCGACCCAATCAGAACCTGTAATTAATAAAAAAAAAAAATGTTTCAATAACACAGCATATTGTTGTCTAAAATGTAACATGGCATAACTAATTTTTTATAAAAATAAAAGCTCAGGAACAAGAAACAAGATCTGATATCTCTGTATGACCACTACAATAAATCATGTTACGTCTGATTATGATAATACAATAGACAGCAATAAAAATAGATTGTGGAACATAGAACATATAAATAAATTTAATGATAAGTCTCTCATCAATTTACCAAAAAAACTAAAAATACATGAAAAAGATTATAACAGTACTTTCAGTTATTAATGTTGAACGATTGGCTTTATTTTAACTTTATATTGATTATTTAAGAAATTTGTTTAAGTACTTTAAAGAGAATGAATGATTTGGATGCTGTTATACAATGTGTATTTGGTTGAAGATTATATGATAAACAATATAATTATGTGAAGAAAAAATAACAAGAATATACATATAACATATAAAAGCAATGAACCTTTAAGTTGTTCTGCTACTGAAACTAATTCTGTAACATATTGAGCAATCCTTCTTGAAATGATGGTGAGCTGTGTTTTATCAGAGCCGGCTTTAGTAGTCACTGTTTGAACAGATTGCAAAAGAACCCTGTATTCATCTGCTAATAGTTGTCCAGTCTTCAAGCATCTCTCTCTCAGTTCCACTGACTCTGCACTCTGAGCAGCCCCCTTTGTAACATTAAAAAAATAGGAAAAAACATGGTTAATTTTTTTAGCCATTCAACAGTACAAAATCAGTAGCTATGCTTACTTAAACAATACCAATTGCAAAAATCATCAAAGATCTTATACACAATTACGGAATCAATTTCAGATAACATTTAAATTATTAAATCTTTTGATAAATTCAATTAGAATGAGTAAAATAAGAAGTATTTCACAATTTTTTTTTCTTTAAAAAAAGCACAACATAAAAGAAAAGTAATAAAATAAAATTTAAAAATTGAATTTCATCAAGTATTCACATAAAACTAAGTAAAATCAGCGATTATTTCATAAGAGAGATAAATATTTTTAAGTGAAAAAAAAATGTTTGTAAGCTTATAGCAAACACAATTTGCGAACACAAAATGAGGTAAGTTAAAAAAAAGTGAGTATGTCGGAGTCAGAAGTCTGTGTACGTCATTTATGATTGAAATAAATGTGTACTTAAGGCCAGGAGAAGATACAAAATCAAATAAAAAAATTAATAACTTATCATAATTTTATCATTGATAGGTTTATCAAATGAAAAAAATCTAGTGTCATTTTTTAATAAACTTCAGAAAAAACTCTAGTTTTAGATCTAAAAAATTAAGTTTATTTATTGTTTGTAATAAACAGACAGTTTTTAATTTACATTTACAGATAAACACATACTAATGTAATTTTAATTTTTTTTACTTTCACTTACGTATATATGTAATATATAGTAAGTGTAAGTATTGCTGTCATTGATGTCACTTTACAGGACTTAAATGCCCAATGTTCATATACGTCTTCCTCTAAAGTACCTTTAATATGGTTTATTTTAAAAAGATAATTATTTCGCATTATTCAGAGTTACGAAAAAATGCTAAATATAACTTTTGAAAGAATTTGATAAGTTAATAAAGGAGAAAAAAAATAAAAATGCAGAAAAATGTAGCTATAGACTGTAGCGCCTAAACGAATGTACCGATTTCATTGAAACTTCGCTAAAGTCATTTTCTCGACACCCTTCAAATTTATCTACATAACATTCATCAGCAAAAAGAAGCTGAAAAAAAGTTACGAGGGATGGTAAAATTAAATTCCGAATAACTTAAAAAGTATACACTTTTTTGGGAATGTTGTATATGGTTTTCTAAAAGTTTATGGAATAGCCTAAAAAACAAAAAAAAAATTGTTAAAATCGGATAATTATGAGATAAGATATGGTCTCTAGTTTTTTTTTTTTTAATATGTTCTGCTGCAATGGTTATATCCTTTGTTTCGGTTTTTGAATTTTGAATGTGTTAATAAGGTAATGCTAATTTTTTAAAAATGTATTTAAAATCCACCTAAGCAAGTTGATGGCATTGTTAAAAAAACTATTTCAGTGTACTTGTGTGAAAGAAGAAATAAAATATAAAATCATTTCATGGATGTATAAATCATGTGTTTATAATATTAAATACATTTACTGTAGTTTAGTAATTATTTATTAAATTTTAAATTGGTCCATAATCGTCTTATCTTTTTGGCTACATTGAAGGAATTGCTGTGTTATATATGTTTGAGATGTTATATTGCGTTCCTGGCGTTTGAGAATTTAAAGAGAAAAAAGGAATTTTTTTTTATTTTGGGAAAGTGTTTATTATGCTATGTCTATTGTTTAATATGGCTTATTGTTGATAATTTGTAAGAGTATTGTTATGAAGGGGGAGAAAAAAAAAAGAAAAATATAATATAAAATTAATGTTCGTATGGATTGATAAGTATGCTGTGTACGAAGCAACCCTATGTAGTAGGGTAATCCATAAGCAGCATTACTTTTAATAAAGTATTTCTCTATAAATAATTAGGTATTAAAGCTAATTCCAAAATATTGTCATATAACTTTTTAGAAAACTAAATTAGTGAATAATTTGATAGATCTTCTCTTTGTGATATTCCTCTACCATTTCATTGTACTTGTGTGAAAAAAGAAGTGAAATACAAAAATATTTCATAGATACGTTTATAACCCTAAATATATTTACTGTAGTTTAATAACTCTAGATCTCATAATATATTTAAATATTTAGATATCTATCGTCCGTTTATTCCGAAAAACCATCATGTAACCTTTTAGAAAATTAAATTAGTGAATAGTTTGATAATTCTTCTTTTTGCAATATTCCAACAGAATCCACTTACAATTAGTGTGACAACTTTTGACCTGTCTATGACAGACACTGCAAATCTCTTAATTCCGTTTTAATAAACTTTGCAATGGAAAATAACAATTTAATGACTTATAGTCGTACAATCCATAATCAATGGATCGAACAATCCATAATCAACGAATCGTACAATCCATAATCAACCGGTGATATAATAAATAGGACTTTTGTTATTTTAATAGCATTTGTGTTTTTTTAGCTTTAGCTCAGTTTAAAATGCAATTTAAAACATTTTATAATAGCCTAACATGGCCAGAAAATAATTTTTATTCAAAGTTCAAAGAGTAAGTGAAAGTTGTGTTGCGCGCACCAGATTTTTTTCTTCAATATAACAAAACTATATCTTAACTTCAATGTAACTGATAGATCAAGTGGTCTATTGATACAACTGGTGTTAGTTTTTATTACCATAGGTATGTCCTACCAAAATATATATTTTCATTAATAGTTTATTAATTATAACCAATCACTTTCCTACTCCCTCTAATCTGTTCGACACAGTTAAAAAAGAAAGTGGTCAAAAGGCTTGCTTCACCATTGAAAAAATAAAATAAATAATTTTCTTTCATTCTCGAAATGACCATTTCTGACACATAGAGTTGTTATCCTACAGATAACCAACCTATTTCAGCCAGGTTGGGAAGAATGAGATTCATTCCATGAGTCTGCTATGAAATAGACTTCAATCTATCCAAGCTGGAATCGGAACAATTCTTATTTGAGGTTGCTAAATTGACACTTTAACACAATCAGTCGCCATGGCCTCCCAATACATGCTATCATAATATATATGTTCTATAAAAAAATATCTAAATGATAGAAAAAAATATTATACCTTGCAAACAGCTAACATATCAGAAATCGCTTTGCGGCCCATGTTAGCTGCAACAATAATATCTTCTTGCTTACAACTGTTTCCAGCAGCTACCGCTTTGGCTGTGGCCTGAGTTATTGGTTTTGTGCATCTTACCAACATTTCAGGAGTAGCAGTACCACCTCCATGTTGTTCGATCGAGTGCAAAGCCTAAAAGATATTTGAGCATTTAATCATAGAATATAAATTTCAACTTATAACTATCTTTTGAGTCTTTAATTACTGCAAACATTCTAAACCATTATGACGGTCAAGGAAAGCAAAAAAATTTTTAATAAATATTTTATAAAACTTAATAAATATTGTCCATTCATTCAAACATTTTTAAATGATTGTCAAGGCAATTTTAGAGTAATGCGCCTAACAATAGGCAATTTCCAACTTCACGACTCAAAATTTGCCAATAACTTTGATTAGTATCAAAGAGAACATAATTTAAAGAAATGAATTTGTAGGTAATTACATTATTTCATGAAATGAAATTGTAATAATTAAAAATTTGTTTCGGGTTTAGCAATATTAATATGAAAATCTTTAGCCATAAAGAAATGGAGCATGCTAATATAATAAAACACTGAGGTATTCATTTCTATATCTCATATTAAGATTTTATAAAACATTAATTAACAATAGAGTATAACAATAATAATTTACAAAAAAACTAAGTAAATAATACTACAATATTGCTGCAGGGTTGATAATTATTTTTAAAAAATTGCGTTATTTAAAAAATATATGGAAATTACTGGGAAAAGTATTGAATTTAAAAATAAATTAAGCATCTCAGAAACTAATGTTGATTCACTTCTGATAAAGATCAAGACTACCAGTTTTCTCCAGAGATTTAAATAATTAAGACAATAAAAGAAACAATGAACTATGGCACCTTACCCTTATTTCTTGTGAGATGACTTCAATGGTTGATTCTAAAGCTCTACTTCCTCGAGTGTGTTCGTCCTCGACTGCTTTTACTGTTTTCAGCAATGATGTCACATTTGTTACCATCACCTATAACATTTTTTTTTGTTTAATGTGGAACAATAACAGCCAATAAACAAAGTAATACAAACAAAACCATAACAATTAAACGTTCCCGAAACAAGAAAAAGTAAAAGCAGAAGAGCTCAGCCAACAAGAGTGCTGATTATAGAACTGTATAAAAATTGTTTGTATAGAAGACAATACATATTACATATTTTGGGAAATTCAAAAATTAAGTCCAAATGGAGCACGACACTTTCTGAAGGCTTTATTTATTAGATTTGGTCATTATAATAATGATGACATATGGATAAGTAATAATATCCAAACTTAAAAATTTGGTAGTCAGATTGAATTTATGAAGACAATAGTTACAATTAGTATTAAATATGATTTATTTTTTCATGATTTCTATATGGGCAAATCAAAACAAAATTTAAGACAGTATATTGAATAACAAAAAATATTTCTAATGACTTTAATTTTGCTAGAAGACAAAAACAAAAAATGCATATTTTATTAACTTTTTTTTTTACTTTGATTGCTCAAAATGGTCTATAATCTTAGAATTCCCCACTTACGATGAATAATTAGTGGATTAAACAAATTTAATTTGTAAATTAATAAAAAAAGTATATTAGAGTAAGCAGAAATTTTAAGAGTAATATATCCCAAAAAAAATCCATCAGTTAGAGTAGACAAACCATAAGAAAGTGTTAATTTATTAGTTGTTAACACTTTTAACACCGACCAATGTTTAATAAAATACATACCTATAATTTCTTCAGAAGGTTAAATGTTAACCAACATTAGTATAGGGTAATTATCCAAATTGTTCAATGGTTTAGAAAAAAAAATCCAAAGTAATTTTATTAAAAATGTAATAAATATATTTTCCATAAAAATCAATTAATAAATAATCAATATAAATAATGTAATATCATATATTTCCAAACTGATACACTTGGAATATGGCATATAATTAATCACTAATCGTAATTTTTTTAGTTGAACAAGAAAGACGATCTATGTTCTCATGGACAAGATGTCTTATAAATTCCTCTTCAGTGATGTGCTCAGCAGACCAATCATAGCCCTGTTAAGGGACAAACCAACCAATCAGTTTGACTTATGTTTAATAAATTTCAAATTAATTTTTTAAAACCTTATACTGAACAATTATTAAATTGACATCAACAGCTTTGTATAAAAAATACAATCACCACGTTAAACTGAAACAAAATTGGTGCATAAAGTAAATAAAAACAAACATTCAAAGAGAAAAAAGAATCGCTGTCTCATGCACTCTGAGCAATTGAAGCAAATGAATTCATTCAAATGCAATACAGTAAAACCTTAATTATCCAGTCATAGATAAATTGTGTTATCTATTATCCATGATAGTTTTAGAAATTTCACAAATTTCATAGGTATAATCTATTATAAACTGCATACTTTTTGAGTCATGCGCAAATAATTTTATTTCTTCGTAACTTTTTCTCCTGTTCATGTTCTTATTTTCAACATGGAAGAAGAAGATAATGGATATGGATGTATTTGATTTGATGAAGTATCACTAAGATATGGTATACCACAAAAAATTAAAAACCCCATTGAGAAATGATATAAAATATAAAAACCAGAACTACATATGGTAAGTAGTATCTCGTGACAACCATTGCATCAAGGAGGTTTTCAGCATGAATTATGGCTTATATTGAAAAAGGTACATTTTAGAGCTTCAAAATGCAATCTGGTACATTCTTGAAGGACCTTATTGATGTCGGCATCAAAATTATAAAAACCTAATTTGTCCCAGCTCAATCTGCCAACTAACTAATGTCAGAATTTTGGAACCTCCTACCTTTTTTGAATGACTTTTATGAAAGTTATATTAACAATTTAAAGATCAACATTGAAATTAGCTTTTTGTTGACGAAGATACCTTTCTTTTGTCAACTCCTTTATCAAAATCAGTCATTCTTGTGAGCCGGAAAGGTAAATTAAATAATACTAGAGTTCTTAACTACATTATAAATTATGATTTAATAAATTTGAAAACATAAACAAAAGGCCATTGGCCTATGTTGTGCATTTGCCTCCTTACCATAAACTATGTAACACTAACAATCCATGAAGGTTTATGGGTTCAGTACTATGTGAGGAAGTACAGTTACGAGGCCAACGGTTGTGCAGGGAGGTGATGGGCCAATATCATGCTCATCCCCAGGTTTCCCCCTTAATTATCTTTTTAATTAAGGGTACCCACTTTATAGAGGCTGGGTGTGCCCCAGGAGGGTCTCCCAATCCCAGGGTTGATCTACAGCTAATGAAAAATTACTAGTTATTAGCCAGATTCGAACCTATGACCTTGAGCTCTGGAAGTCAGTGCTCATCCACTGAGCTATACCCCGCTCCCTTTGCCTCATTAACTACACTTTAAATAAGCAAAACTTTAGAACTCCAATAAGTATTATTATCAAGGATGATAAATAGTCAGGATGCAGTTATTATAAAGTTTGTATTAGTGCTGAAGTTTCAACCCAAACATGTGCGTCGTCATTATCAGGGTGTGGTTCGAGCACTGAAGATATTCTATACTCTTATTTATAAACTTTTTATGAATTTCTTATTATTGTTATAAGAATTCACTTCATTCATTATGAACACACAATTTTCTTAAAATTTCTATCTCTAAATTCCATATTCCATATGCTCTTTATGACTCAGAATTAACTGATAAATAATCATTATCCTCTACCAAATTTAATCCAGTATTTCAAAAGAGAAAACTCCTCAGAAATGGGAATGAATTAACAAGATTTTTTCTTTATTTTTAGATATGAATTTGTTACAAACAGACTGCATATTTTAATTATATATTTCTACTCCTATGCTATTAATCAAGGTTTTACTGTAAAAAGCGAGAGAGGAATTATGCCTGAAAATGAAAATGATAGGCCATAGCAAAATTGACACCATTTTAAATTATGGAAAATATATTTACAACATTGAAAGCTCCACTGAAGAAATAAAAAAAAATAAAAAAAAAGATAACTGAAAAGAAACACAAGATTTCATCAGCTCTCCCCGACTGGTTGGTTGGTTCCCCACTTTCTACATTGAAAAAGTTTCAAGTCAAACAGTTAAATAGATGGTGCTAAAACACAATCAATACCGATTCATATTTGTGTGATGTTAATTAGTGATGTCTACAATCGGGGTTAAAATAAAATTAAAATAATTAAGTTCAATGAGAAAAGTGAAACACCATATTGTTAAGGACATTGTTGTAGTTTCGATAGAAATAATGTACAGAGGAAACCTAAGAAACAGAGATGAATGACGTGATAGAATAACATCATGCAGAAGTTTTAGTGGAGTTGTTCCATGCCAGTTATCAACCATTAACACTGATTATAGCCTTACTTTAGCAGATTCCTTAAGGTGATTCATTGTCGGATCATTGATTGATTTACCCGATGCAGCTTTGGTTGCCTGAATCAAATCACCAAGAGCAGAAGCTACATCTTTTACAGCATTTATTAGCATCACCTACAATTAAAATACTAAGCTTTAAAAAATATTAAGTAGAAGAAAAATTAAATTACAGCAGTTAGGTTCCAATCAAGCAAATAGCAAAATTTATGTTAGAATGAAATGATTATTGTCTAAAAGGAAACAAAGAATATCACTTCCACCATCATAAAAAAAAACAAAAAAACTTATCATTAAGAAAAATATTCTGAAAATGTTTTTAATATTATTGAAATATACAAAAGTATATGAATATTTCATTACTTTTAAAATAAAAATTTAAAAAACCACAATACATTTCTAAAGTTTTATCAGATAAAATTCAGCATTTCAAAAAAAAAAAAAAGAGAAGTTCTCATATGAGAGAAGAAAAAAATAAAAAATCTAGGTTAAAAACTTCTTGAAACTTAAGCAATTGTATAAAAGCATTACTATTGCAAAATCATCCATTTCTACTTAAACATCACAACAAAAATGTAATTTACTCATTACAACAAACCATAATTTTTTCCTTTAATAACTGGATTATTATTTAGTAATTATAGTAAAAGAAATTTACCTGAGCTTCAGGATTATTGCTTCCTAAAGATGCAGCTCCGAACTTTACCACTTCAGCAAGCTGAATAATAGTAGAAACAGCATTCTGGGCAGCAACTGCAAGCTGTTCTTGAGAAGAAGCAGCGCCTAAACATTAATAATAATAATACTTAAATTTATGTTATTGAATAATGCTTCAATTATATTGATTGAATTGAATATTGATAATATTCAAATCATGAATATTAATTTTTCTAAGATAAACATTTTAATATTTTTTATCTAATCCTGATAGTATTAAGATAAAATGATATAACTTCCAATTATGAAAAAGTTCTTAACATCATTGACTTTTAGGTGGATAAGAGACAGCAAAACATATAACTTTTATAAATAAAAATCAAAGAATTCAACTGATTTGAGAAAAAATATATTTTAAAATACAAAAGACCTCCAAAATCTCAATTCTACTAAATAAAGTAACCACATATATAATAACAATTTGTTTACCAGCAACCAGAGTTTTAGTGTCTTCCACAAGGGCTTTAGCAGTTTTAAGGATGTTTTCTCTATGATCAGCAAAGGTATCTCCTTCTGTTTCTGCGTTCAAAGTTCCAGCAGTGGCAAACATAATAGTTGTATCCAAATCTCCAATGATTCCACTAACAGTGCTTGCAGCATTAATGCAAGCTTGAGTTCCACGAGAACCAGCTTGCAATGCTGACAAAACTTCTGAAACCTGAATCAAACATAAGTAATTTAAAACATAAAGTTTGAGAAGTTTGGCTAAGTTAATTATTAATTATATAAAAATTAATAATATTACTCAAATTAATCTAAGAATTGTCTAAATTCATGCAATTCAGTACTTATAATATTGAACGTAATTAATTCAAGACACGTGTTCATACACTTCCTGCCTCATGGGTTAAAGACCCCTTTGATTGTGTTACATTAATACTGAATTATAGGACTAAAAAATTAAATAAGATAAAAAATTTTGAATCACAAGCAGTGTATTGAGCAACGAACCGAATACTCGATTTTCATATGATACATGATCAACTATACACCAAGAATAGTTTTTCAGCCATGAATAATAGACCATACAATAATTAATTTTTAAAAACCTACATCCATAGCATCAATAATGTAGTATAAAAATGTATAATGATCAAATATCATTTGAATATCTATTGTTAAAATATTAAACTAAAATATTACCTTCTCTGCAACATGTCTTCCAGCATCACTTAAGCTCCTAACAGAAATGTCATCTGCAACATGGCAAGCTGCAGCAGCGTTAACACAACGGATCACACCAGCTCCAAGATCAAGAACGGAAGTAGTAAGACGAGATGCCACTTCTGGATTGTTTGATGTGATCCTTGCTCCAGAGCAATCTGTGGCTAGTTTTGAATAATGCTGAGAAAGTTCTGAAGATAAAGAACCACCTTGCCTTTTAATCACCTAATAATAAAAATTAAATATCAATAAAAGATAGGAAACCAAAACAGATGTAACCGGAATCAGATTTCATTTTAAATACCATTTCTTGAGCTACACGTGCAATTTCTTTTGCTGATGAAACCATTCTAGTCTGATAATCGACATAGGAATCGCCTGAATCAATAATAAGTGAAGATCTGGCGGTTGGATCACCAAGTCTAGACATTGCTCTATTCACAACATCAACAACGCTACAAACAACACCTTCTTGAGTAGAAAGTACTTGAAGGGTATGAGAAAGTTCTGATAATGTCTCTCGGCAACCATCAGCACAATCATCAACTTCTGGTTGAGCTTTGGCATTCTGTTATAGAAAAAGGAAATTCTATAATAAATTAAAAAGTAATAAACAATTAAAATTTATAAAACACCTAAAAATGTTTTACTTTATTGCTTTTTAGATACAAGTGATCCAAAAGATGGATGCATGTAAATTGCTTTTACAGGTTCAGAATACAATATTTCCCTTAAATTGAGTCGCAATTGGAAATAAAATGTTGAATTATTAAAAGGGTAGGTTAAAATACCAATTATGGGGTAAGATAAGATAATCTCGAATTAAAAGGAATGCCTTCAGGACTTGAGAAGATTTAACAGTTATTTGGAATGCTGTTAATAATGGACCGAGAAGCCAAATTGTATCGAGTAATTTAAAGCTGTGAAGATATATACATATTTTTGTAATCATACATGTTATTTCATGCTTCTCAACTCTTTAAAAGCCAAGCTAAAATATATTTCCTAAGGGAAATAAGTGAGAAGCAAAATATTAAAATAATATGTTTATTTATTTCTTTTTCAACACAAGATTTCTGAAATATTTTCAAATATTTATGTCGAAATTCCACAATTTCATTAACTTACTTATTAGGCTAAAAATGGTGTAAACTTACCATTGAATTTCCACCACATTCCTTTGTAACGTGAAGGAACTGAAGAACAGCTTCTGTAACCGACTTAGTTTGATCCAAGAGCATCATCTGTTGCTTACTATGTGACATATTAGAAGCAACTGCAATGCATGCTGAGACAAGAGGTTCTAAATAAGCCACAAGCCGGTTTACCTAAATTGGATTAAATTTTAAAAATGTTATGTTTGTATAGAACAAAAATAAGCAAATGTAATATAACAGATATTTTAAATTAAAGAAAATATGGCTACTTACTGCATGTCCTATATTTTCAGCTTCTGATTTAGCAGCTATTCTAAGAGGCTCAATTGATTCAAGCACTTCAGCTGCAGACCCATGTGCAGTATCGGCAAAACTACGCAGAGTCGCACCTCGCTGTGGGACAAGCCCAGATCCAGAAACTGCTGTCATAGCAGCACGATCCAGCTGGCGTACTTGTTCATTTACTCGTTCAAGGGCTACATCGCACTCCTCTTGTCCTGGAGCCCGATCCCTAAAACAAAATATGATTTTATGGTTTCTGAGCTACGTACCATTCATGTCTATTTTACAAAGACCAATTTAATATTTTATTTCAATTTAGTTTTCATTACTATGAAGCTGATTTTGCTCGACAAACTTGAAGGTTAAAATATCAATAACTATAATTTTTTTTTCTATTCTGAGATCAAATAATCTGCTAATTTCATTACTAATGAGAAGTTGGTGGGCTACAAATAACTTACAATTAACTAAAAAATAAACAATATTTACCTAATGGAAGCAACCAGTTTCTTTATGGATTCAGAAGCACTTTTACTTTGATTAGCAAGTAGTTGCCAAGTTGGTGGATCTTTCGGGGTAACTACTAGATGTTTAGCAGTTTTTAATATTGAAGCAGAAGCCTGAAAATTAAAATTATTTACATAGCTTTCAATCATACAAAGATAAACGAAAACAGAAATCATTAACTATTAAATTTTAATGTAATGAAAAAATGCATTCAAATCCCACTTGTAATATATCTTTGCCAGCTTGTAAAACAGGTGCCTGTGCTGCTCTAGCTGATGGAGCGATAACTGCAGGCTCTCCAGAAAATTCTGGTGATGAAGCATAGGCTACCAAAGATTCTACTGCATCTAATACTGGTCGAGTTGCTGCAGCACATGATCTTCTATTTTCATCACGATAATCGTTATGCATATCTAGAGCTGTTATACAAAAATAATAATAATTATTAACATAAATCCTCTTTAAATACAATGCTTAGAAGAATTTATTTATATATAATAAAAAAAAAACTTTACAGTACCTTTAATCTCTTTGACAAGGTTAGCAGTGGAATTGGCAACATCTTTAGCAGATTGAACAAACTGGCGTTTGGCTCCAGTGTTGGTGGTGTTACATGAAGCCACACGACAAGCATTACACAAAGCACTAGTGTGCTTAGCAATTTCAGTTGCTGCACCCATAACCTATAAAAAAATTTTCTTTTAAATAATTTGAAGAAAAAAAATTAAATATTAAGAAACACACGTAATTAAACTGTTGTAGTAGCATACCAATATGAATACAAATTTATAAAAAAAAAATTAAAGAATTCGTAACTAGGATAAAATTTATCTCAACTTATATCAATAAAGCATTGACTATCGTTAACCATTTTAAAATTTGATATGCTACTCAAGGTAAAATAGAAAATAATATTCTCTAATTTCATTCTTAAGATTTAGTATTAGTAATTAGTGTCATAGCAAACAATTGTCTATTTGAATAAATAAATGAATCATCTTTGAAATTTGTTTACGAAGCTACCAAATTTATAATCATGTGTTAAATTATTTATATCTTTAATATATATTAAAACCTAAATAGAAAACTTAATTATGATTAAAATACCTACCTCGTTACGACCAGATTTATTGTTACAAAGTGTAGTACATGCAGAATGAATATCATTTAATGCTCTCGAAAACAATGTCTGGTCAACTAAACCAGGTGTGCCAGCCTTACTTCCTGGCTGTGAGATACCGATAAGGTAAGCAGCCTGTGACGCCGCTTCCACTAGATTACATACAGATTTTCCAACTGACCTAACAGAGTCTCCGAACTCATTATATTCTGAGTTTCGAGCATGGTTCGCAATACCAGTCATACCATCCCCTGTAAATATAAATAGCCTGTTATAAATGCTACTGAAAGTTTAAAAATATCTGATAGAGGTAGTTAATTCAAACTAAGAGAAGTTAACTTTTTCTTTTTTGAGCAACAGCCTTAATAAATCAAAATAAGTTTACAAAATATTTAAAAGAATTATTGAAGGAAGTTAGTCTACCAATCTACATATCATAGATGATAAATAGTCAGGATGCAGTCATTTTATAGGTTTATATTGATGCCAACGTTTCAACCCAAACATGTAAGGTCATCATCAAGGCTGAAAAATTGTTTAATACAATGAGAGGTATAATATAAAACAGATAATGGTTAATGATGAAAAAATAGTGATTGATGCTACATGAAATGAATAAATGAAATATATAATAATTTATACAAACTAAAAAATAATGTATATAATCAATTTATAAGATATGTGATATTTATTCTTACTAACCGTGTTTCGAACACTGAAGGTATTCAAGTACTGACACTTTGGTAGGTAAGTAAAAGGATCGATGCGAGAACAGGCACAGATATGTTTATACTTATAGTATTACTACTATGTAATTCTTAATATAATAGTTTTTTATGATTAATATTGTTATTCTTAATACATTGTACTACTTACCATTTCATTTCATTACATTACAATTGTCTGTATTGTAAACATTATTTGTCTAACTATTGTATACCTTCACTCAAACTATTTTATGTTTATATTAACTGACATATCTTATTTATTTTTATTTCATTACAAGCCAATAGTCACAATTTTTTAACTATAAGAAACAACGTAAATCTTGTATATTATATTTGTGTATAAATTGTATATAAATATTTTAGTTATCAAATTATTTGCATTCTACAAACAAAAATGTAATCTACTCTCTAAAAAATGTTATCTACTCCCTCTGACTTTGTTACTACCTTAGCTATCTTTAAAGCACATGTGGAAAATCCTCTATCGACCCTATTACTGACCTACCAAAATGTCAGTACTTAAATACTTTCAGTGCCTGAAACACTGTTAGTAAGAGTTTTTTTAGCCTTTAAGGCGTAAATCTGTTTTTTAATATTAGATCTCTAATTGTATTAAATAATTGTTCTGCCCTGATGATGACCTACATGTTTGGGTTGAAATGTCGTTACCAATAAAAACCTTTAAAATAACTGTATCCTGACTATTTATAACTCAAAATATTTAAAAGCGTGATGGGTAAGGCACTGAGCTTTTGACTTGCAGATGTAGGATAAAATGATATTATAAACAGAAAATTTATTATTCGATCACACTATATATAAAAAAAAATAGTTGTGGATATTGAAGTCCAAACAAACTATAGTTTTGGGAAATCAAAATATCCGATCCAATTTAAAAAACAACTAAACTTTTATTTCAATTTAACGACCATTTTATGAATAGAAAATTTATCGAAATACTGAACTAAAATTTTAATTTCTTCTTTTGTACTATACAGAAATATGTATTATAACTAGCAATAGTTTTCATAAACAAGAACAAGAGTAAAAAAAGTACAGGCATTGTACGTAAGAATCCCCTATAGAACCATAAAAAAAACTTAAAGAATAGCATACCTAGAGCCTTACTGCTTTCAACAACTGTTTCAAAACATTCAAAGTAATTTTGAGTATTGACAGGCTGAGAGACATTTTCCAGAAGAGGTTTCATACTCTCAATATTTCTAATGGTGCTATCACAATCTTTTTGTCCAGGAGCAGCTGATGTACAAACATCGACTAAAGAGTTAATACTTTCTGTCACAGCTCTAAAAAGAAAAAAAAAGATATATGTAACAATTAACAAAATACTTAAGAGATATTATTCTAGAATAGACAAATGTGTTTTACCTTGCAGCAGTTGTTAGTTTGCTATGAGCATTTGGAGCATTGGGGTCATTTGAGACAAACTTTGCAGTACTAAGCAATTTTGATGAAGTAATTGTAACATTTTTTAAAGAAAGAACCATTTTTCCTTGTGCTTCAGTATCCTTGGTCTGACCAGCCATCTCCATTCCGACGCTTGTCAGGTCAGAAACCGCAGTACCAAAAGCTTGAGCAGAAGATGCTAATTTGACAGAAGAGTGTGCAGTTTGAACAACCTATAAACACAATTAAAGAACTTAACTCTTGTACAGAACTAAAATTCCTTTAAGTATTTCATTGATATAAAAACTCCTACCTTTGATGTAGCTTCAGAAACAAGTTCAGCACGATTATTAAGTGAGTCTTGCAGTTCAGAATATGACTTATTGCTTTTGGGAAAATTTCCTCTATCCAAATGGTTCAAACATGACTCAATGTTACCAATGGCTTCATCAACATCTTTCTGTCCAGGAAGGAAACTTACACACTGGCTAAGGGCCTACAAAGTTAAGTTTATTTATAAATAAACTAAAATACATAATATTTGAATGTATTTAAGTATTTGAAAGAATAAGTAGTTATAAAAAAAACTTTAAGATAAAAAAATTATATAAAAAGATTGGACATACCAAGGTTACTTTCTTAGCAGCTTGTTGTAAGTTTTCAGAATTTTCTGGTTCATGTAAAGTACGTTGAGCTTCTTTAATTACAATATAGGATCTATACATTATTTCTTCTGCTTTATCAAATAGCCTAAAAAAATACATAAACCATTATAATTTTATTTACTATAGAAAATGTTGAAATATTTCAATAAAATGCCTCTTCTATTCTATTTATATAATTTTTTTATTTTTTTTTAAACTAAACAGCCTTTTAAGACCATGCGAATATCATTACTTTCTCATTTTAGCTTTTCTCTTCTCCCGGTATCTTCTCACCATTTCTGCATGCTTTTGCTTCTTCTCTTTCGACCATGCATTACCTTCTATTTTTCTTTATTTGCCACAAGAACCTTGATTTCTTTTAATTTTTTTTCCGTATTGCTCCCCATCCAGTCTTTGCCTATTTTCAATTTTTTTGTTTCCTCTTTCATTTGTTTTTTATATCAATACAGTTTCTGTCCAAGAGTGTCTTGTTTAGTCTCCCTATGTCCATTCTTATCATGTGCCCACAGAATCTTAGTCTTCTGATTCTTATTTCGATTTCTAGGTCTTTTATCTCTCTGTAGATTTCCTGGTTGGGTCTTAACATATAGCCTTCCTGTGTTTTCTTGGGCCCATAGATTCTCCTCAGAATCTTTCTCTCTATTTTCAGTACTTTTTCTAGCATAGGAAGACATGCTGTCTCCATCCCTTACAGAATTACTGGTTTTATTAGCTTGTCAAAGTGCCTTATTTTTGTGTTAGAAAATAGGTTCTTCTTATTGTAAATATTGTCTGATGTGAAGCTTAGTTTTTCCAACTTCGTGACTTTCTCTTTTATGCTCCCTTTCTTCTGGTATTTCCTTTCTTATCCAGACGTCCAATTAATAGCTCTGTGATTTTTCTTCTGAAATCTTCACTTGCTATTTTTCACATTCTGCCAGGACGCCATCTTCACCAGAGGCCTTGTTGTTTTTAAGTGCCAATATTATTTTGTCTACCTCCTCATCATCTGGGAGTCTGATTTCACGTTTTGTAATTTTTCCATTTGTTACTATTTTCTCTCTTGGTCCTTGGCAATTTAGTAGTTTTTCAAAGTAGTCTGCCAAAATTTCGTAGTTTCCCTAATTGTTTAGTGCTATTGACCCTCTTTGCTTTGGAATACTAGTCCTGGGGGAATACTAGTCTAAATTTGTCCTTAAAGGTCTTGTACAAGAGTTTAGTGTCGTTTCTCTTTTCTCCATTTCTCCCAATCTTTTTATGTGCGATTTTTCTTTCTCTTTTGTGACCTTCTACATTTTCTGCAGTTTTATTCTGGTTTCATGCTTCCAGTCTTTTTTTTATCGCGCATTCGCATTCTTCATTCTACCATGTTCTTTTCATGTGAAGGCTCTGTGGTGCAAGTTCTCCTGCAAGTCCTGTAAGATGTTTTGTTTCTTCGTCCCAGTTTTCAGGTGTTTTTAATTTTTCCTTTAATTCTTGTTCTTTTTGTTTTAGTAATATTTATTGGTCTACTTTGCCCATTCTTTTCTTTTCTGTTTTAAGGGCCTTATTTGCTGGTACACAGTTCATCTTAATTTGTGACGGGAAATGGTCTGACGTTACATTTACTGTCCTTGTTACTTTGACGTTTTGTATTTCATTGCTGTTTTTCCAAGAAATTGTCATATAATATAACTGGTATTCCCCCAGGGTATTATTGGGGGACACCCACATCTTTTTCTTACTAGCTTTGGCCTTGTAGTATGCGAACATTATTTTTAGGTTAGCATTTTGGCATATGTGTATTAGTTTTTCTCCATTTCTGTTTGTTCTTATGTTCTCAAGGTTAAGTCAAATAATGCCTCTGTTGTTGTAAAATAAGACTAATAGAATAATGGTCTATGATACTACCAAGAAGAAAAATAAAGTTATGTTAATTAAGGATAAACTTTTATTGAAGTTGTTTCAAAAGAAATAAAAAATTATTAAAAATAACTTTAATAAATAAATATAAAAAATAACTAATAAATTAAAAATAAAAAAGAGACCATTATGCAGCCAGACTTTTTACTTAGCCAAAGTAAAAAGAGTGCCCAGAGCCAATCTTAGCTAAAATAAAACAACTTAATGTAATTTCTTAACAAAAGATTACAAATCAGATGCATTTTACTCACTCTTGCTGATGTGCTGGTGTGCTTGCGGTAGCCCCAACAGCTCTAGCTGCATTAGAAAAATGTGACAATGCACTGACAGTTTCCGTAGCAGAACTTGCAGCATATGATTCATCACCCTGGGTAGAAGCTTTAACAAGAGAAGTGATGCTCCTTGCAACCGCTTTACTTGCATTACTTAGTTCACGACATGCAGATTCAGCCTAAATATTGTAATATAAATTATTAAAACTTTATTCTTGAATTGATGAATTGAATTAAAACTTTGAAAAACTTGAAATTTTCTCTCAATATTTATAATAAGAATACTTTAGTACACCATCTTCATAAATCCAAATTACAAAATTATTAAGAGTAAATGATACTGCAAGAATCTATTTTTTAACTAAATTAGTTCATTTAAAATATTAAATAGAACAAGTAAATTGCTATTTTCAATAACGATACAAATTTTCTGTGTGAATGACATACTATTAATATGACATGAATTACGAATGATTTTTGAGTGGGAATTTGTTGCTATCAGTTATATGTAATTCCACAATAAAAAAATATGTAGCTAATGCATTATATTCCACAAAATAATTTTAACTGAAAGTTGAGCCTCAAGGATAGCAGAAGTTGGCAACTAATTTAAAACAAGCTTTAAGAAGATACTCAAGGTTTTAACTAGAATCTCCAAACATATTCTATGTTAAACATGTATGCTAACATATATATCCAAACACATTCTAACAATTAAAAAAATATATTTTTTTGAAGTCATTGAATACTCACAGTTTCACCAGGTAATAGGCGTACTCCGCCTTTAGTCATTCCTTTGACCTCTGCTTGAATGGACTGAATGTTCTCTAGGGCAGCTTGCATTTCCAATGCAACACCACATGCATCTCTAGCTCTTCCAGAAGCTGCACGGAGTTCTGCAAGAGAAGATCCAAGTGCTTGGCTTGATTTGCTCAGCTGAAGTGAAGTTGAGCCATCATTTACAGTTGGGATGATTGAACGAGCTGATGTAACCAACTTATTACCAGGCTTGAATAAAATTAAACAAAGAACTCATAGCAAATAATACCAAATACTAGTTAATAACTTACAATTAAACAAAAATAAAAAACTTCACTGTCAAACATAAGTGCAAAGTTAATGAACAAGCAGAACCTAACTGTGAATAAATACCTGTAAGAACTGCTGACTGGCATTAATAAGGTTCAGCTGTGCAGATGGGTTATCTGGATTAGAAGAGGACTGCTTGACAGCTTGAATTAAATGAGGTATATGGCTCTGAACTACTTCACAGTCATCCTTAAGCTGGGCTTGTGATTGTGGATTTGAATTGTGCCTTCCAGCTCCAAGACAAGAAGAAACACACTGGGATGCTGAATCAGTAGCAGACCTAGCAGCTGTTTCTAATCTCGAAATGAGTTTCTTCCTGATAGTAGGAGTGGCAACAAGTGTTGTGGCAGCCCGCAAATCCTCAACGGTTTGACGAAGATTGGACTGACTCTTTGGATCATGAGGGTTGGATGCACAAGTTCTAGCTGCTTCCACCATACGTGCTGTAGCCTCTGCAAGTAATTTAGCAGCAGCAAGAAGTCTTCTTTGTAAGCTTCCATTTTCTTGTGATTCGGCTTCCCCCTGAATCATAAGTTTTTATTATTTTGTTTTGTTACATAAAAAATAAATACAATTTAAATAACATAATGTATAGTCTTATCAGAATTGCATAATTTGAACTTATAATGATAAGAAACAGATGTTTAATACCTTTATGTTCTGAATCAGCTGAGCAGTAGCCTGACCAAGTAGCCTTGCCTGTTTGACCATTTCTCCAGGGTCTCCACTGGCTTCAAGAACTCTTTCAGATGTCATAAGAATCTTTTCGACAGAAGTGCTCTCTATTGCTTCCTTTTCCCTTTCTCCTCCAACTTCCCTATTGAAACAATTTTAAAGTTTATAAGAAAAGAAAAGAAATTTGGATTTGGAGGAGATAAAAAAATCAACAAAGAATAAAACCTAATATGTTTTAGAAGAAGATTTAGAGTATCCGTGACATCAGCTGCAGCTTCCTGCAACTGGCTCATGAGAATTTGATCTGTACAAGATTCATTACAAACAGTGACAAGAGATTCAACAGTAGCAGCTACTTCTCGGACCGCTGCTTCCAGCTGTTCTTGGCAAGGTGGACTTTGTATGGTGGGTGCCACAACCTTAGCACAAGCGACCAACTGAGATGTAGTTAAAGCACATTGTGTAGCAGCACCTTAAAATAAAATAAACAAAATATATATTTAGATAATTTGTTAAAGTAACTATTAACATTTTTAAAATTATAACTAAAGGAAATTAAAAATGTGATCTCAAACACTTTATTTTACAAAAGTAATAATATTTATGTGTTTTAACTGTTCATAATTTCAGAATGAATGATGTAAAAGGGAATTAAAATTTATAAAATAGCTAAATAAAGGAGATAAAATAAAAATGAGAGACCCTCAAAAAATGTTTAATTCTCACTTAAAAATTTTAATTTGATGCATTTTATAAATTGGTATTATGGTGGAAAGGACTGGTTCCTATAATCTGGAAAATAAATATTGCAATAAAAACAGTTACAAACCTATGGCTCTATTTTGTTCAGGTTGATTTAATGTTGAAGCAACTGCTTTTCCTCTAAGTACCAGAGCTGCAGCTTTATTAGCAACAGCTTTACCAAGCCCAAGAAGAGTATCTTGGGCTTCTTTAAGGTTTTCATCCTCTTCGTGGATTTCTGTAAGAACTCTTGAAGAAGCTTCACCAACACGAGAAGCAGCATTCAACAGACTCTGGCGTGGCTAAATAAAATATAAAATCTCAGGTAAATAACAATTTCCAATTAACAATTACAAAGCAACTTATAATTTGAATTACCTCCTTTGTGGCAGGTTCAGCTGCTTTAAGCAGATCAGTGAATGCTGTACAAAGTTTACGAGTTGCATCCAAAAGTTTGTCACCGCTGTTTTCATCGATGAGAGCCGCAAGCATGCGAACGCCACGTGATACCTCGGGTAGACCAGTTGTTATTGTGGTAATCGCAGCTCCCACTGCTGTATGATCAACTTCATCTACTGAGCCTAAAATTTGGTTTTAAAAATAAAAATTAACTAGAAACACAAGGAGTCACAGGCTAAATATAGGTATATATCAAGAAACAGTGGATTAGTATGAACACTGTTATGGCATAAGAGTGAATAAACATAAACAAATAAAATTACAAGATGATAAAATTAAGTTTTTAATTTATGTATAATCTTAACTTTGACATATCTTTAAAGGATTAAGGACTAACAAATCAAAAGTTGCCTCCTTTGTGGTTGACATAATATCTGTAATGTTTAAGAATCTAAAGTATGTAAATTACTTAATAACTGTTTACATTTGAATAAAACAATAAACTAGGAAAATAATTCCTTTTCTCTATTTAGTTAAGGACTAGTGCATAGAATAAATTATTATATTTATAAGTAAGGAGCATTTTATCTCATTATTGAAAATAAATGTATCCAATTTTCATAAACTTTATTTTAATTTCCTTCTAAACTTGAATTTTTCAAAACACTTTTTCCATAGTAATTCAACATTTCTACAATATAATAATTTTTATATATTTTTGGTAATAATTTTCTGAAAGTGGATACATTGACTTTTGATAGAATACTCCTCAGAAGTAATTATTAACAGGTATTTATTTAAAAGAATTGTCAAGATTTACCGGATGTAAGAGTGACTACTTGAGCAGTTGCAGCATTCATAGCTGCAATCTGAGAGCTTACATTTTGTTTGTTTGTGTCAACAGTAGTTTCTTTCCATTTCAATGAAGCCTGAAATTAAAAAATAAATAAATAATTTTTATGACTAGGGAATGAAAAATCCAAAAATCACTTCAAATATAAATCTCAATTGGTTTTTTATTTTATTTTTATTTTAAAATATACTAGTTATAAAACTAATCGATGCTGTGCCCAAATATCTTTAACTTTTATTAAAAAGGTAAGCCTAGTAGCAGTAAGTATTAGCACTGTTTAATTCAATATTCCTAATTTTTTAATAGGTTTAAAATACTGCCTAATTTTGTTACTGGTGAGCTTTTTAGAAGAAACTGGTATTCAGAAAGCAGTGTTAAAAAGAATATATTTATTACAATCACAGTAATTGTATTACAATACAAATAATTTCACTCACAGGGTCATTGCCAAGATCTGGTATTTCAGTTTTCGTTAAAAGCTCCCTCTCAACTGTGGTAATGACTTGCTGGCCAGCAGTAATGGTACCCAATAGAGCTCTCTGTGGTTCTGATAAGATATTTGTAACCTGGGTCTGCTGAATCTGTTAAAAAAATAAAAACAGTTGATTATAGTATCATATTAAATTAATTTAAAAAAAAAATACATTTAGAAAATTCCAAATGAAGTTATCATAGAAAAAACATTACAACAAAAATAGCATTTATGTGATAAAATAAAAAAAGACAAATGAATCATTCTTACATTAACTGACCATTTCACTGTTTGGATCTTAAATCTCGGGTATAAAAAAAAAAAATCAACATTTTTAATAAATGGATTATTAGTATAGTTGGTCTAGACAATAAACTTACTAAACATTTTCAGTTTTTCAGTATTAATATTTTATTTATTTTTCAGTAATGGACTTTTGTAATCGACCAAGGAAAACAAATTAACCCCAACTAAAAATTTGAGGTATTACATGCATTTTGTGATGAATTTCGCATTCACACAATGGGGGAAGTAACACTCATGAACTTTTACCTCTAGCTTCACAGAGACAGATATTTTTAAAAGATTTGCTAGATTGATTTTAATGTAATCATTTTACTATTCCTTCCAAGAAAATCTATGAATTAATACCAATTTTTTTATAATCTTAAGAAACCATGTGGAAAACAATATAAAGATTAGGGACATGAAATGGCCAAGTAGTATAAGAATAACCCGACTACAGTAAGCACTAAAATAAGAATCTGACTGATTAAACTATTTAACCTTTGTATTTTTAAGAAAATTTAATCAATTTAAAAAAGAAAATGGCAACACACTATATGCTGACTACTGCAGGAAGTTACAAACTAATCTAAAGATTAATGTTCCTAATACATTCTTTCGATTCCTTAATTTCCATTATATTGTCAGATTTCCATAATTTTGGTATTCACTAAATTCTCAAATTTATCTCTCTTATTTGAGCAGGATAGTTATGTGAAGATCAAGGCACTGAGGACCTGTTCTCATTCTAACTGATGCAGATAATTATTTATTCTCTTCCATCAGACATAAATTGATATTGTGGTCAGGAAGACACCTAGCCACAATAAAATGGATAATCATAATTGAGGTAAAACAAAAAGCATGTTGTTGGCATGATCTCAGCCAAATCAATATATATATATACACACAGAAAAGGCCTTAGCACCTGTAACAGTTGCCACTCAATCTTATGATGATACATAGCACTACTAAAAAAAGAAGATCGGGGGAGTTAAGAAAACAAAAATTAAGAAGCTTGTGACGAAAAATGTGTTGTTGACCAATACATATCTCCTTAAGCCAACTAATTGGGATTAAAAAAAAAAAGATAAATGATTTGGTTTCCAAATTAGGCATATCATACAGAATGGCAGGATTTTAATAATTTAATTGAAGCTTTGAGTAATACCACTTTAATCTGACAACTTTTCAATATCCGGCAAATTTATTATTTAGGAAAGATCATAATAAGAATAAAAAAAGGTATTCAGTTACACGTTCCTTACAAAAAATATAAATATGAAATCAAAACAAATGTATTCGAAAATTGATAAATAAGAAATGAAAAAATGGGAAGCAGTAACTGTAAGATCCCCGAATAAATAGGCCCCTTTTTAGCAACAATATATGTGGTTTTAAAACACAAAAATCACTGTGCACTAACCAATAACAAAATTAAAGAACTTTATTTTATCAGCAATGAATAAAACATGTAGAAAAATAAAAGAAGAGTGAAAATATCTATTCTGCATATAGTGTGTTATATAGCACAAAAAACTTGAAAATATTTTATTAATGAAAAAAATTATCAACTTATTTCAAAGAACTGTAATGTTAAAAAACAAAATAAAAAGGAAAACAGAAAGATACATACTCTTATCCAATAATAATTATCATCATCTTGAGGAGAGCATGTAATAAACCATAACATCATTAATTTCTGATAAAATGATTCTTTTATTAAATTAGAAAGCGATAACAATTAATAAATTTTATAAAAAAATCATGTTTTTATAATAATTGTATTCAGTAAATAATAGTAATATTTGGTCTCTTGGAGTAAATAACTATCTAATAATTTATAGTTCATTAAAAACGAAAGGACTTAATTAAAATTAATCAACTATTATGGTCAGAGATCCCTGACAATTATTTAAGTAATCTGCACTTTTTAAATGAGACAAAGAGCAAACTAAATTTTGATTTATAGATTTATTCCTAAAAATAACAGAAAATTTCAAGTAATAGGTTCAAAACTTTAGAAGAAAACTTTTTTGAGATTAGAACTTACAAAAAGTGAACCATAAAAATTTGAAGAAATTTAAATTCAGAATGAAGATTTTTTTTATTAAAGCTTCCATGTTCTTTCAAAATTACTTCAATGTAATTTAAATGCTTATTTTCATTTTTAAATCAATTTTATTTCAAGATCTTAAAATAAAAATAATTGATCTTGGTAATTTATATTGGTAATAATAAGCCCTTTTATAATTAAATAATTAATAATGCTTCCACAAAAACTGTATACGGATTGAAGTGAACAGTTGTGGTTGGGAATTCTTATTAGTGAGAGATACCAGTGAAAGAAAGCATAAACAAGATGAATTATGGTTAATCATAAATCATTCCTAATAATTAATTTTATTTTTAGAAACTTTATTCAAAATTTCTTATAAATGTTAAATTAGGTGTCATAATGTGAAAGTTTGAATAATCCTCAGAATAAATGGAAAATATTTTTGTATCTGATTTTATTTTCAATAATTAACATTTTTTAAAACATTGCTTATTTACTATATATCTACAAAATACAGACACAATAATGCGCAATTTCTTTAAATGATATAAAATGATTGGACAAATCTGAGAGAAGTTAAAATTAGAGAACATAAAATAATCGAATGACCATCCTTTGAATTAGGCTGATTGAAAAATCACAATAATCAATTACAGATTGAGATTATTTATGGTGAGGGTATTAAATGAACGGCAATATTAATCATCATTAGAATTCACTATTATCACGCAATAAAACATTTTTCTTGAATATTGAATAATACGTTTGCAATAACTGATTTTAGGAATATCAGCAATGAAAATACTCAATGAATGTGAAACTACATGTGAATGAATACTGAATCAATCGAGAAGCTTCTGAGTGGTATGCTAAGACAAAGTAGGAAGATGTAAATTGATTGGTGATCTTCTTCATGGTGGTTAGATTTTTGATGGAGGGAAACAAAATGGGTTCATTCATTATTTTTACTGGTATCAACTCATGAGGGTCCTAAATCAAATTTATTTTATTACACTGAATTAAGTTAAAAAAACTTGGGGTAATTAAATGTTGACAGAGATAGGGTTCTTTAATAATTATATACAGACTGAAGGATGTTTGAAGATATAAATATATTTATGAATAAAAAAGATTCTTCATACACAATGGTAATGGGAGATCAACATAGAACCTTCAAAAAAAGTAATTAGTAATGTGTTTTTTTTTTCAAAACACTATACCTTCAACATAGCAAATATTCTATTATTTATTAATTGTTTACAACCTTGAAATATACAGTTAAAATGACCAAATACTGAATAGTAAAATCACAGTATAATTTTACAATTACTTACTGAAGATGGACTATGCGCAAGGTTGACCTGACCTCCAACTGTAGCTACTAGCGCACCTCCCATGTGGCCAGTTCCGAAGGGCTTAGCACCTGCAGAGAGTGTGGAGGAAAAAAAAAACAGTGTATCATGCATTTACACATTAACCGGAGTGCAATAATAAAAGTAAAAACAATTAAAAGAAGTTGTAAAAATGAAATAAAAAATAATTGGTGGCTTCTAGGACCATAATAAATAAACAAACTAATGGAAGCATATCAATAAACTATTGTTGCTTAAACAAAAAGTTGCATTTTTTAAGTAACAAAATATTATTTTCAAGCTTAAAAAAAGATAGTTTCAGTTCTTCCTGAGAAAGAAAAAAAAAATAATAAAGAATAAACGATTTTATAGGAACAACAATATTTACACCTGCATATTATTTATAATTTAAAAGATAAAAATGTCTATAAGCCAAAAAGCTATGAAAAAAATATAGAACATCTATAATCTATAGGTAGAAAGTAGACACATGCAAGAAAAAATACTACATACTGTGCAAATTAATCAAGAGAGAAAAATAAATAAAAACTATTAATGAATTTTCACAAAACTCATTTTTCAATGAATATGAGTAATAACAATTATACTATAACCTACCATCAGCTGCACGCATTACAGCAGGTTTCGCCACAGATTCAGTGTTTACTTTCGCAACCCTACTAGTTTCGTGTTGTAAGATTGTAGCTCTAAACAAAAATTAGAAGAAAAAAATTTGTTTATTTAATAATCATCACAAAAAATGCTGATTGAAATAAGCATAAGTTTATTAAATTTAATGAGTAGAATACTTATTTATCATACTTACTTCAAAGGAGATACACTTTCTTCTACCATAGTAGACCCTTCATCGCCTTCGATACCGAAATGATCTTTAGCTTTTTGCTATCAATGAAAAAGAAATTTTATTAGAAAAATTTCAAAATAAAATTCATCTTATTCATAATTCACATAAATAAATAAATGATGGGAGATACATTAATTTTACTTCCTCCAATATTATTTGCATTGAGAATTGAAGGTACCACAATTCAAAAAAAAAAAAATTTCAAACAACGTACTGATATTATTGTATCCAATCGCCTTTGATATCAATAAGTAAAAAAAATTTTAAACGATTGTAGCAGTTATATTTGTTTTGGTTAGATGATTAGTTGCAAAACAAAATTTTGGTTAATTAAGTCATCACTCTTGCTGGTTAAAACTATTAATGTCTGATTAATGGCTTTTTTTAAAAATTCTTTTAGCCATTTAAATGAAATAAAATCATCAAAACAATAAAAAATTATTAGAATGAAAATAGACAAAGAAATGTATATGAAATTATAGAATACTTTTTCTTTAAATGTTAATGAGCGGAATTCCTAGTTATTTTTGAAAACTTATAGGTTAGAAAATAAAATAAATATGACTGATTGTTACAGTTAACATATAGTTGAGGAAGTATATGTATATATGAACCAAGTTTTAATATTTAAATTTAATTAAAGTTCTATAATATTCAAGAGCCTACCCTGTCCAGTGGGGAGAGCGAGCAAGGTAGGAAAGCTTTCACACTTTCTTGAAATTTAAAAAATAAAATAAAATAAGAAAAAATGCACATAAGACATTTCTGAAAAATTAATTAACAATGACAGAGTTTTAGGATTATAATATTTTGAAAGAAAAAATAGGTAAAAGAAATCAAATTTAGAAAAATTCTCCCTTCTTGTTTCAGATTTCTTGATACTATCATAGCTTTACACATATAAAATTATGGCAGAAAGTACCGATGAGTATTTTAAATATGAACTAAACTATGTTAATTATTACTTCAAGTTAATAGATAATGGAATAAGAAGAGCTTACTTTTTTCAATATAATATCAATATATCCTGATATCAACTGGACTATCTGTTCACCTTCTGTCGTTTGAACAGAGTAATATTCCTCGGAATAATCACCAAAATCTAATGTAAATGTATTTGGAGATGCACACCATCTTTTAACCATGGTCAATGGATATGTCTTCATTATTTCTTTAGTACGTTCATCAAGCCTCAGAACGGAACTTTTTGTTACACCTAATAATCTTGGAACAAGTTTGTTTTTTCCTTTCATTTTTTCCTAGAAAATAATTAATTTAGTGCACAAAACACACTCATATAGGAAAGAAAAATATTAATATGTGAAAAAATTATTAATGTCACACTTAAATAATTACCTTAACTAAAAAGAATGTAACACCATATGTTGGTAAAGATCTAGCAGTTTTGGTATATAGTACTTTAGCTTCTAGTTCTGAAATGCCTACGTGTTTCGAATGTTCTTGAAATATTTTCTTCTCAATACCTTTCACTTTCACATAAGATTGTGGAAGAAACTCTTTTAAACTAAAAAAAAAAAAAAAAATGGAATAAATAAATGACTAATTGACTACTTCTATTGAAATGTTTAACAGAAAAATAATAAAAGCACCACTAATAAATGTTGTATTTAACATGACAGATCCCAAACAAACATATAGTCGGCCTCGATTTAAAACCATATAACAAACAAATCACAAATTTTCATAAAACCAAAAAAACAAAATTAATTTAAATTTTCATCAAATGTTTTTTAAACCAATTACTAGTAATTGATGTACATCAATTATATCTTATTAAGTTGAAAAGATCAACAAAAAATTATTAATATAATAGTAAAATTTAAAAATAAATATAAAAGCAAACAAATTCTAATATCTTTTTACTTGCACAGAAACACATTGAGACTGACAATGACACTTCATAAATTAGCATATATCACAAAAAAAGTTTCATTCATATCATCACTTTCATGGCACTTTCTGAATTGAAATAGTTTGGATGAAAAATATCCCCTTTCTATCACAGCTGATAATTGATGCAATTTAATAAAAGCATATTAAAAAGTAAGTTACTAATAACCAAAACATATAACTTGTAAAAAAATATTTATTTCTATCCATATTTAAAAAAATTAAATCTGTCATATTTTATTTTACATACACAAAGCGGACCATAACAAAGAGACCAGCGGAGCAGACCATAACAAAGACACCACACTAAGACGCAGAATTATGGTTGCAAATTGACAATAAGAATAATTATAATTTATAAAATGGGGGTCGGTCCACCATTAGATAGACAGGGGATACTCCCCTAGTATTTAAAAAATAAATAAATTTTATGAAATATTGTATCGTATACCTTTAACACACTAAGATATTTACACATAATCTAAATGAAATGGAAAATCTATTTGAAGTATTAGTACTTACTCGAGGAATGGAGGCTTGTGTTTGGACTCGTTATAGTCACCAAACTGTATATGAGCTTGAAGACCAGCAAATTCACAGGCCAAAGCTTGAGTGACAGGATGAGTTGAGTTAAGGATCGTATCTCGAGCCTGGACGTACAACAAATTCAATTGAACTGGATCACGAGAGTCTATGTTTTGATCGGAGAAAAAAAATTTTCTTCTCAGCAATACTGTTTCTCCTTCACCTATTCCTTGTTCCCTCAATGTTTTGCTGCTGTCTACCCAATTCACTGAAATTAAAGAATTGAAATCATTTAACTGTTTAATTAATAAATAGACACAATTAAATTTATATATCATGTTACATACTTATAGTTTTTTTGAATGATAAAAGGATTTTGTAGTGTACTTTAAAGGAGTTAATAAATTGAACAGGGAAACTTCTATTAGAGGATAATTTTCAATAGAAAACTTCCTCCTTTAGGGTAAACATTTATAATCCCCATCAATTTATCGGTCATTTTATACTACTTAAGACTTCTGCTTAACAGACAAGACAGACTTGAGATTCTTATTCAGGGAACTTTAATTCCACTTATACTAGCTTAGTTCAATTTTGTATTTACGAAATTCGTAAACTTTACTACGTCAATGAATGCATGGGAAAAATGAAGCATTTTCAAATTATCTGATTGATATAAAACTGGAAAAACACAGATATGGACATTTTTAATCAAACAAAAACAATGTCCTAAATATTCAGGCCTTGCCACAGAGATCAAGTAAAATTCCTCTATGATGGCCTCGAATCAATGAAAAAGCTTCAATCTCTGTTCACAAACGAAATTGGATAAGGAGATGTCCAATTTTGATAGCAAACTCTGATTTTATCATAACTCATTTATGTCCACACTATTAAAATTGTAATTAAAAAAAAAACATTTAAATGAATAAGCAATATAAATAGGATTCATGAATTACAATGTTAATACACTAATTTTTAGTATGGTATACTTTTTTCTTTGATTTTCTCTATAACAGATATCTCTTTTTAGCAGAAAAAAATTGAACCACCGTGAGTGTCTGCTATGGAGAAATTTCATTGTATATAATTAAATGTTATCGTTTATGTTCTTTAAAAAACAAATTAAGAAGTCACAAAAGTGTCCCTTTTACTTCATCATGAAAAATAAAACCAAATTTCTTAATTTAAAATTAATATGTCTTAAAAGAAGTTATCATTGTTAAACTTAATACAACTTTTAAAAACCATATTTATTTGTTTTTAAACCGAGTTTCACAGAACTTTCATGTATTGAACCCATTATTTAAAATAATACTGTTCTGAAATAAATTAATAACTCTAATTTATTGAATCTTCACCTTCATCATCAGTTTTAATTTTTTTCCTTAGCTGATCCATTTTAGCATCCCTATCTTTCTCTTCTTTCTTCCTCTTTAAAGTGAGTGTTCCGTAATTTGGTTTGTTTTCTAATTCATCTTCAGGAGTCTCAAATACTAAGCTATATTCATCATAATTCGTAATACCTAAAAAATAAAAATTCATTTAGTTATGTGGAATTATTATATAACCTTTTATCATTAAATGAACATATTCATTGAAAAATACTGACCGATTTTGGTACAAATGACAACCATTAGGTTTGCAACGGGCTGGCTGTCGTCAACACGCATTGTCTTCACAGTTCCATCTAACATCCGAACCTTAAGTGTTCTCAATTTTAATCGATATTCTAGAGTATCCTAAAATAATAAACACACTTAATTAAATGATAATAAATTTATGGAAAAAACACACTCTTTTGTTCTTATCTAACTAACATCTAAAGTAATGCAGGAAAAAAAAAGTGAAGTCTGAAAAAATATATTAAATAAGATTAATATCAGTATTCAAACAAAAATCATAATATGTATGAAAAACACAGGCATAATTTATAACTAGTAAATCTAATGTATGAAAGACTTGAATAAATTTCACATAAAAGTGTTTGTGTTAATTTGACACTCGAGGAATTTTAGATTAATAAATATGAAGAAAATTCACAAATATTTAAAAGTGAGATCAAAAGTTTAATTACACTCAAACACTCAAGTCTTATTGATGTTATGGTTTGGTACAACTAGATAACAACTTTAACTGCATTAAACTTAACTATTGTTTGAGTTTTATTTTGTCATATTTGTTCACAAGGTAACTTAATTTTGTGACAAGCCCAAGTAGGTTTTATTTTAAACTAAAGCATTTTAGATAATTCTAAAATAATACTTAGAATCAAAATAGAGCTCATGGAAGAAGATAAATTTGACAATATAAAGAATGGATTCATAATTAGTCTGAATTAATAATGGATAGTAAGATAATAATCGGTATAGAAAGCACATAGTTTAATAAGTTAAAAATATAAACATGTAATTCATTAAGATATGCATGTTTATAAAATTCTGGAATTGGATTAAGCTATAAAATTGAGAAAGTAAGCAGATCTACTGATATTAGAAAAATACATAGTAAGAAACTAATATAACTTAAAATACTTTAGAGATTTATCATGGTTTAGGGATTATATAATTCCTAAATCATGACTAATCTATCTCAGATTCTTGACTCATCACAATAGTGTCAAAAGGATTGATTAGATCAACAGGATGTTGATGAAAGATTTATGGGTTTATATTTAAAATGTCAAACTTGGTTCAATTTTTATTTTTAAACAAGAGGTAAACATTGTCATTTTTATTCTTTTTTATTTTAAAAGGTTGTCAAATAATGCCATTACTCTGTGGTCAGAAGCTATTTTATGTTTCTTCTAGATTTGCTATTTTATGTAATTTAAATTTAATTTTAAAGTTGGAGGTTAATTATATAGACTGAGCTCAAGCCAAAGGACATCTAATAAAAAGACAATCTATAAAGATAAGTAATAATCAAGATATATTTTTAAGTTTAAAAGAAAAAAATAAGAGTTTTACACTATAAAACAAACGTAATGAGTGGACAGATTAAAAATTAAGATAATTAAAATTAATAGAAAAATAAACAATCTACTTCAAATGTATAGAACAAAAACAATATTGGTAAAACAAAGATCTAATTTACTTTTATGAATAATATTGAACAGAGAGAATAATATTATAGAGGAGATAATTTATCAACTGCAAATAATAATTTTAATATAAATACAAACTTTATAAAACTAAATACACATTAACAAAATACTATAGACCAATACCCCACTCCGCAGAATATAGTATTCTAAATCTCTTCCAGGTTCCAGCCATACTCCTTTTTTAGCATCTTCATCTGCTAGGAAAAGTCCATAATCTTTTGCTATACAGAAAAAAATATATACAAATTACAATTGTAATTATACATAGAAACTACTTATACTAAATGAAAAACGTGTTAATATTGATGAGTTTCAGCCAATTACTTTAATATTTTGAAGATAACTAGAATATGTTTTGTTTTTTACTAGATTAAATATTAATCAGCAGTGTGATATAACTTTAAATTAAATAACATAATGACTAGTTGAGGATTCCACTTACCTTCCCCCATATTAGCTTCAGATATCTTTTCTCTGATAAATCGGCATGCGTCGTATACTGTTGTCGAGGGATCAAACCCCATCGTTTTTGTGACATTTTTGTCAACGATATGTATTCTAAGTTGCAGTGTGGCCATATCTGATATGCTTCTTCTCTAAAATAAAAAATCAAATTATTATGTGACATGAAAAAAAAATATTATTTTAAAAAATAGTGAACAAAATCATAGGACTTTTTTTTTCTTTAAACTTAAAACTATTTTTTTATAAATATGCATAGAGTGAGTAAATATAAAGAGGATTTTCAAATAAAATACATATTAAAAGCCTAATCAAATCTTAATAAATATATAAGATTTTAGGAACTGGATCATAGAAATGCTACTTTCACCTTTCATGAAAGAGCCTCAAAAATCATAAAACATTAGTTGGATGTTTATTTCATATAATATGAAAATGAATATTGTTAAAGAATCAAGCACAAATTTATTATCAAGTTGAAGTCCTATAATTACAGGATTAATTTATCAGTTATGGCATATTAAAAGTTATATATCATAAATTTTATGCTGTTAAAACTGGAAGAATTGAAAGAGCTAAACATCGCTTATAAAGAAAAGTAAAATTTATAGACTTTTGTATTATGCATAATTTTTTTTAATCATTTGTATCTTAATTAGTAAAAAATAATTTTGAAATAAACATAATCCATTGACCCCTTTTCTAAGGAAAATAAAAGTGGCACTTGTAAAGCGTCGGGTGTAAATAAATATCAATAACTTATATTTCAAAAGCATTTAAATAAATAAGGTCTATATATAAGAACCGGGCGATTATGCAAGAATACGGCGCGATAAAAATTTAAACAGCCACACCTCATTAATCGATAAGTCGAGAAAATAAATTCATTTCGTTGATTCAAGATTACTAAATAACTCGCATTTTACATAAAAAAAGCATACATTATTTGTTTAATAGTTGATATATGTTAAATATTAGGCAAGACGTACTATTTAGTAGAATAAATCTAAGAGTAGCATTGTAGGCGAAAATAGATGGTGGTGTATAGAGATGAGGAAGATCGGAGAAACAATAGGAGGGGGCTTTTCTTTTAGTATAGCTGCCGTGGGGTCGATACTGCTAATTACAATATTGAACTCTCAAGTCTACTACGGCTTTACTCCCCGCATATCACCATGTATCTATTTATCTTCATGTATCAAATATATTTAATTAATATGACTAAAAATATTTTTTAAAATAAATTTATGAATCTAATTCGCAACAGGTCAAGCACAAGAAAAACATCCAACAATAAGCCATAAAACGAATCTAAATATAGACGTTACATTTTTTTTTTCAATAACAGTTTTTTTATATAAAAGGTTCGGTTCCTGTTGCGAAAATACTTCATCAACTAAATTCCAATTCCAATGATAATTATTTTTTTTTTACATATATCTATACAATTTATTTTAAGTTCCATTTAAAAAATAGAATTTCTAGATATTTTAACAAACAACTATTACATTTTAACCATTTTCTTCTGACAAATAATTATTAACAACATTTATATATTTTGGTTTTGGTAGCAACCACCCAAAAAAATTCGACTAGTCCTAGGAAAGCAAGATTTATCATAAACTAAACTCTGCCTCAATTTTTTTTTTTTTCATTGAAATACGGAGAATAAAATACTTTTGGAAATTAAAAAAAAAAAAAACATTACAAGCATAATTGGAAATATATTCGTTAAGATTTTTAAAGGTTTTCCGAAGTTAATAAAGATTCTGAAAGATGCTTAAAAATTGGAGGTTCAGTGAACTTAGGCAAAAGAAAAAAAAAATTGAAAGGTTTTGAAAAAAAATCTGTGTGAGAAGATAACTATTATAAATGATATATTTAACCATCTTAATGCAAACGAAACTAATAAAATCGTTTGATACAATCGATTTATCGTTATGAATTTACCACTTCCCTATAACTTTTATAGCTTTATTCACTACTGTACATAAAGCTAAAATAATATTGCTCTTAATCAATACATATGGATCAGACGACGTGATGCTGTTTTACAACAGTTAAATTAATGCTTACAGCTTATTAGCCAGTGTGTGCTTATTGACTATACATTGCAACATAATATAATACAGAACAATAATAAGATTTATATTTTAAAATATAAACAAAACAGCAATACTGTAAATTTGATGAAAATGACATAAGTGAAATTATTCCAGTTTGCAAGGTCATGATTCTTTATTAGAAATGCACCAAGTCCCGTGAAATCCAGACTATAACAATGTACGGAAGATAAAAAATATACTGAATTTAGAAACATTTTAGTCAAGCAAAAAAAAAAAAAAAAAAAAAAAATAGTGAGCAGTGAAAATTGAAATAATTTAGTAAGAGCGACTTTAGTCGGATATACACATGCGTGTTATTAGTAACACGGAGCACGAAAATACTTTGTCTATGTTATGCCGAAAAAAGTATGTTTCTAGTAGACCCTCAACAACAAATTTACACATTACACGCTTTTCGTCGAAACAATGTCATTAATAATATTGTTAATTTTTACATTATAAATAAATTATGTGCTTCAATCAGAAAAATATTTTATTTTATTAATCATATCGCAAGTTCGCAGATGGTAAACATAGGCATTCGAACACATTAAGTATTGAAAATAAAATTAAGCTGAAGTAACAGCTGTAATCATGAGAAAATTAAACCGTCTGAAATATTTTATCAAGAACGCTGAGCATCAATTTTCATACAATCTGGACTTTCGGTGATCCGAAGTTGAATTGGGATTATTGGAACTCAACTGGGGGTCAGTGACCATTAAAATGAGAAAAATTTCTAAGAGATCTCGAAAAAGAGTTAAATTTATTAACTTTACTTCCAATAGTTTAATAAATAAAAAATAAAAAATAAATGTGAATGAATAATTAATTAACAGAATTATTGTAACAAACAACTATTAAATTTTAACCATTCCCATAAATTATTATTAAAAACATTTATATATTTTTGTTTTGGTAGCAACCACCCAAAAAAATTTCTTCTAGTCCTAGGAAAGCAACATCTATCATAAACTAAACTCTGAGAAATACGGAGAATAAAATACTTTTGGAAATTAAAAAAAACATTACAAGCGTAATTGGAAATATATTCGTTAAGATTTTTAAAGGTTTGGCGTAGTTAATAAAAAATTGCCGTAGTGTCTTAAAAAATTGTTTGCAGGTTCAGTAAAATTGTCGTAAAACCAGTTGCAGTGCTACCACAATCGGGCAAGTACAATGGACGACTGTAAACAGGCCTAGTAGGGGACGCAGCCTGCAAGTTATAAATAGAGCAAGTCAAGTTCATGGCCACCTGCTTACGAATCAACGGGGACTTCTGGAGCTCCTCGTTACGGAACCAGAATAAATAATGAGGAAAATAATTGCCTCCGATAACTTTGGCCGGGAACAGTCCTGGTTTACAAAACTCGGTGAAAATGTGGAGTTTGTATACCAGTCCAGGTTGCCAAACTTCCAAAGTAAGTTTAATGTCAAAATAGATTCCTCTTGAGTATATTCCATGCTCAACTGCAAGATGAAACTACTGAATAGAGGAATGAGAAGTTTGAAATCCAAACTGTTGATCAAAAATTACATAATTTGAATGTAGGACAGAGTACAGGTGATTGTCAATATTTTAATAAAAATGGATCAGTTGAAAAACTGATGCAATAGACACATAATGAAATTATTTTTTCAATTCAAGCCCAAAAGAATGCATTAATTTAATGATCAAATCAGATGGCAATGGTAGAAAATAAAGAGATGAGAAATTATAAAGCCCTATAGTTATTTAGTATAATGTGATCTTCCCACTAAAAAAAAAAAACAAAAAATAAAACGAATGAACATTAAAGGAAATTGATTAAATAGTAGATTATACAAACAAAAATTGAGATTAGACAGTGAGAAATCGAGAATTCAATAAATTATTAATTAATTAATAACAGTATATAGTGAATTGCTTGATTATAAAATTATAAATTTTGAATTAAAACACACATATTGCTTGAATTGACTAAACACAGAAAATAAATGAAATAATTAATAGTTAAAAAACGTTATTAGAATATTAAAAATTAATTTTTTCAACATAAGATTTATAATTTCATAAATATGTACAATGATCAATTCCATAAATATCTGTAATGAAAAAAAATAAATAAAATTAAGGGATATATAGAATATTTTGAACTCAACATAACTCAAATTAATATAACTAAATTTTTAGCAGGATTATCAATTTTGCATTTTTGACATTATGTTTTGAGCTAAAGAATTTTAATAATTAGGAAGCGTTGTTTACATATAAAACCTAGTAAAATAGTGCTACGAACTCTGCCCTTATTTGAAATAAGATAGAAGTGTCTGTTTTTATGTGCTTATATCACTAACTCCTGTTTATTATGGATATCATTTCTACAGAGACAATAACCCTTCGACACACTTCATCATTCTCATATGATCATGGCGATAATATTAATATTTACTTCAAATAAGTATATTTTTCGGTAATAAATTTTGTCAAAACCTACTTTAATACAAAAGTATCCAAGATGGTTCTTCTTTCTTTCTGTACCTTATGACATACGATTTTATGTCGTTTAAGAAATTTAGAGCGATTTTTACGTTTAGGTAGCTAGTTTCTTATTTAATTTTTCCGTACAAAAACAAGCATCCAGAAAGGATTTGAATGTTGTTAAAAAAATACTAAAACAAAAGCTATAACTCGCCTTTAGAATTCGTTTTACAAAGATTTAAGGCAAATGACCTCTCTGAACACACCGCCTGCCAGATAAAATCTAGCCTCATTAAATATTCTGTAAAAAAAGGCGAGAAATATGAAATAGGAAGTAAACTCACAGGAAAAAATGATGTTTATAAGAAGCAATTTTCCTGGTTAGATAAAGGGGATTTTTCCTATACAACTTCACATGAACTAAAATCCCTCAAATAAACAAGTTTACTAGATCGTACTCCGACCAAATACTTTATTTATTTTTGTAATGGTTCCAATCCATTTTGTTTACTGATTAAAAAAAAAGAAAAGATTTTTATGAATCATTTCATTTGTGACAAAAGAAGCA